TTGAGAAATTAGGAGCAAAAATCCTTTTAAAAAATCTTTTTTGACTTACGTCTTTTTGTCTCCTCCTAGACGGTACTGAAAAGTGTGAGCTACTTTTGGCACAAAACACGTGCAGTCGCAAAACGAAGTCTGAGCAAACTTACCGCCAAATTATAAAAGTGAACACCCTCCAGAACTTCACAAGACAAAATTTATTCACATAACAGGCTCACTACTGAATATTTATTTGGTTAAAAATCTACGTGCTCTAGACATAAAGAAACAGAAACTACGCAAGTACTGTGCTGGTTACAAAGCCAGATTGGACTAGATGAACTGGCTATATCTAGTTCGTTGTCAAGGCAACATACTGCCTGTCAATCAAATACGTTGTATGCCATCTACTCACTATAGAACGTGAAATCTTTGGGACTGAAGATCTTGTTGAAATATTGTTTATTTGACAAAATATAACCTGAAATTTTGTATGATGTTTTCTTTAATGACTTTAGCATCACCTATATTATTTACAGTTAAAAATTTAGTGCTGGAATATGATAAATTAACATTGCTGTCATATACCAGTGTGATATTGATGTAAGGAAGAAATTAGTAATAACAAATATGAGAATTTGAATAAAAAGGGGAATTTTTTTATACTGATTTTATTTAACTCATATATTAAAAAAATCAAACACATGATAACCCATAAAAAGTTGAATTGTTAACATAAATATAAAAAGGTATTATATGATGAATATTCTTTAATTTTTCATTGAACTTTATTCAAATATTATAAAATTTGAATACTTTAATGAAATTAGTCTAACAGTACCCCCTCCCCACCTGCCGCTCAGGGTTTTTATTTTTTGCTTTGGTTAAACTTCATGTGAATTTGTTATCAAATTGCAGATTCACAAATTGCAGACCCTGTACCCAAAATCCCAGAAGCCCTGATTGAAACTTTATAATGTTAAATCAGACTTATATGCAAGATAATCTTCAGGGCCCGGTTTCATCAAGGCTGGATAGCACTATCCTATGGATAAAAATGGCCGCTATCCTCTGGATAGAGCTATCCAGAGGATAGTGCGTTTCATCAACAGTGGATAGCGTTATCCAGGGGATAAATCAGCTTATCCAGAGGATAAAGTTGTCCGCTCGAAATAGGTGGGATAAATCTGCTATCATGCTGTTAAATCATCAAAAATGGTTTGACAGTAAATCCTGTGAGATTTCACAGGCGGAGAATAATTAGAAAAAGAATTTAAAAAGATGTGTGGTTGCTTTTGATGCTTTGAGTGATACTGAATCAATAGATTACATAACAGACTTGATCAAAGTTGACATCGCGCCTGTTACGAACAGAACCCATGCAATCTCCGTGAGAGACCAATTATCTTTTATTTTACTAAAACATACCTTTTAAATCGACGAAAAAACTCTACACTGCTATTGACATAATCTGCCAAACTTGCCAAGTCAGCCATTTTGTTAGAAAGTATGTCACGACCTTGCCCTTCAACTGCAAATTGTAAACATTGCATGAGGCACAACTAATGCAATGTGATGTGTTTTTGACACTGACACTAAAATATGCTGTAGATATTAGTCCCATTATTTTAATGAATGTACCATCTTGAAATATACTTAGAATATTGTTTATCATGGGTAATTTATTTTCCAAATATGGTATAGATAACTTTTTTGTTAGCAACTATCATGGCTTTTATAATGTTTATAGCAACCAACTGCATTATGGGAATGTATTTTTCCAAATATTGTATTGGATGAATTTTTATCTACTGGATTACTATCATGCTGTTTATCCAGCCTTTGTGAAACACAAATTTATACAGGGGATAACTATACAGAGGATAAGAAATTTATACATTGGATAGTGTTATCCATAGGATAGCCTATCCAGCCTTGATGAAACCGGGCCCAGGAGTTCACAAGTATGAAAAAACAACTTTTTTATCTGAAAATAAATCCACTTTAAGGTGCATTTTCCGGCTCATTTGATTGAATGTCTTGGCAATAAATGCATTAAATGTATGACTACACATATTTATTTACAAAGTTCAATGGTATGAATAGAAAAAATTATTAGTTTTGTTGGACAGGTTGGATTGAAATTCGGACAGGTGCTCATAAAAGTTAGTGTCTAGCCCTGATGTTCCCACAAAATTTGGTCCTGCACGTGGGCTATGTTGTAATGATTTAATGACAGCTTCAGATTGCATGAAATTGCACCCTTTTTGCATGAAATAATGAAAGTTTTTCCTCCGGAGGGAGTGAAAGACAAGCAAATGGACTTTGCTTTGAAATAGCTCTAGATCTTGTCTGCAAAATCATCCAGCAGCACAGCAAAAAGAAACATGCGTGATCAGCTCTGGTAGGCCAATAAGACAACAGCTAGTAAGAATTGAGGTTTTGTCAGTGTCCTATGAGAAACAGCCAAACAATATATGGAAATCCAGTTTCAAGAGAAACATTAATGCATGAGAACATGTCGCATCAGAGGAAAGTGGTATCTTTACACAAAAGAAGGAATCTGCAAAACCAACTAGAAAGCAACAGCTGCGCAGGAAGGCAAGAGGGATAAAGCAAAGAAGTCGAGGAAGCAGCCTCTTTTCCTAGTTGACAGTGCCAGTGATCATTCCTAGCATGATTTGACCAGACAAGTCATCTCACTACCAATAGAAATCCATAAGGCGACTACATAGTTCTCATTGTTTCCAATGGACGAACAAGCACAAAACATCTACAGTATATGCCAACTACAGGAATATTCATCTTGGAATCATCTTAAAAAACCTTATGCCTTTTTTTATTATCCTCTGTCACCAGAGTAACACCAGAAATTAATTATGTACTTCCAAAATAGTAACAATTGATGTATTACGATCATATGTAAGTCCAACAGCTCAAAAAAGGTAAATTATGCCATAATTTTTAAATAGAGACAGACTCTTGGATATGAACAACAGAATAGCTAACAGTAGTCACCAAACAGTTGAATCTGCCATNACAGCCTCTTTTCCTAGTTGACAGTGCCAGTGATCATTCCTAGCATGATTTGGCCAGACAAGTCATCTCACTACCAATAGAAATCCATAAGGCGACTACATAGTTCTCATTGTTTCCAATGGACGAACAAGCACAAAACATCTACAGTATATGACAACTACAGGAATATTCATCTTGGAATCATCTTAAAACACCTTATGCCTTTTTTATTATCCTCTGTCACCAGAGTAACACCAGAAATTATTATGTACTTCCAAAATAGTAATAATTGATGTATTACGATCATATGTAAGTCCAACAGCTCAAAAAAGATAAATTATGCCATAATTTTAAAATAGAGACAGGCTCTTGGATATGAACAACAGAATAGCTAACAGTAGTCTCCATTAAGTTGAATCCACCATGCTGGTCTCTTGCACTTAATCTGTGTCTGGCAAAACCGTTTTAAAATTGTTATATAACATATTTTTGCACAAATTTGACTTCAAGACGTATACAAGCGAAGGTGAAGACGTAAGCCTGTATTGGTGTTGGAGCCTTTTAATATTTTCTTTTTGTATTATATCTCAGAAGAGATAAGACACATGACTTCTACAACCCAAATGATAAGAAACGATGTATAACATGTTAGTGTAAGAGCAATAGCTTCAAATTGATGAGTTATGCCTTATCCCTATTTCAAAATTGTGACTGGCGGCCATTTTGGATTTGAGGATCAAAATGGCTTCCAATTGTCTCCAAAGCACCAAGTATGTGTTCTTTACCTTTAATAAAGCCATTTTGGTCTCTTACACTTGTTTCAAGCTCTTTATGATTTTATAAAACATTTTGTACTTATTAGACTACATGGCACATGTAAGTCTATTTGACGACTTGAGCCTACATGCATATTCGTTTTGGAGAATAAAATAGTTTGTACTCACATTTTATGAAACAGATAATGTATTCTGCACCAGAAAATAATATAAAACGACGTATTACTCATTTACAAAGATGTAATACATGTAGTTTCAAAATAGCGAATTATGCTCAAGTTCAAAATGGTTTTTGGCGGCCATCTTGGATTTGAGGGATAAAACGGCCACCAATAGCCTCCATAATGATAAAAATTTGTTTTTTTTTTGCTCATAATATAGTCCAGTAGCGATGATATATAACAAAAAATCGCATTGAGAAATATTTGAATACGGGTTATCAATATCCATGGTTTTGCAGCATTCACACATATCTTGGTAGGCACTAAAAACACCCTCTTTGTCCATTCAAATCACCTACTATCACCAAAACAATATCAAAAATGACTTTTTCACCCCCAAAATAGTAGGAATCGATATATATATCAAGTATATATAGACCAAACGCTTCAAATTTCAACATAAAATAGCAAAATTATGTCCACTTTCAAAATGGCGGGTGGCGGCCATCTTGGATTTGAGGCACAAAATGGCCACCAATTGCTTCCAAATGATCAAAAATGGGTTCCTTGTCCCTAATTTAGTCAGGTTTGATAATCTATACATGTTTCTAGGCCAAAAATTAATGGAAATATGAAATATTATATATTTTGGCACCTAATTTACATAATTAATGCTAATTAATGTATCGATAGAGGGCGTCTCTTTGGATAAAAAATTTTCTTTTGGCCCAAGGAACATTTATGCGAAGTTAGACATTTGTACTACAAAATGCAGCGTTTGGCCATTTTTTGGTCCTTAACAAGCCTACTAAAGTATTGGTATTACAGCCTATGTATCTATCTGTTCAGGTGTTTCTGAATGTATTGCAAGTCAACATACAGGTACTTACAATGTAAATTGTTAATTACTGGTCAGTGACAGGTGGTGAATCTTCACTGACCATTTCCTATTGACTTGTACTGAAATTATCACAACCTGAGACAAAGTCATTGGTCAGTGATCTTAAGTCTCAACAGTGTTACAGCTGCTTACTGTACAAGTACATAAAATGTATCACATAATGTATTCTTACCTCCATGAAAGCCTTGTTTGCCTCACTTTCATCATTGCACTCAACCTGAAGAAAATAAAGAATTCAATTTAAGTTATACTAATAATGGAAATAATTATTAAATTAGTCTTTAACCAAAGCATTTCCTACATACAATTTAAATTGATCCATAATTAATTAAATCTGTTGTAAACTGTCAAGTCTTTCACTGTCTAAAAAAACAAACTATACTTAATAAACAATATAGGCCTTCTAGAAAGACAGGAGAAAGAATTCTTGTGAAATTGCTGACTGTTACCATGTAGATTCTGTCAATGAATCAAACATAAAGATCAATAATATCTACCACTTTTATGACCTACTAGTGACATGGCCTGCAGTGAAACATATTTTTAAAAACATACCAGTATATTGATTCAGATTGTTAGACAAATCAATTTCTCATAGTAAGTGCATTCAACACATTATGTAGACAATAGTATTTTCTGAGGTTAAAATAACCAAACTCTGTGACAATAGCAGCTGGCAAGACCCATGAGGCTAGTTTTATTAGCCCATAAACAAATCTCTGATGCTAGTAAATCAATACATTTCAGCTAAAGCAAAGGTGTACACATATCTTAGATAAAGGTGTGCTCTTTATTTATGGCTAAATCAATAGGTTTATGACAGAAACAGTCACAATTCTGGACAGGGGGTATTCTGGACTGATATCTCTAAATATACGTACTAGCTGGCAAATGGAGTTAAGATAAAATTTTCCTACATGTAAGGCTCCATATGTAGCTGTCACTTTTCATGAACATTCAAATAATTCTGCTGAGATCTTATAGTTTTTTAATTAATTAATTTACATTCACACTTTTCTGTTTATTTATTTACTTATGTATTTATGTATTTGTTTATATATCCTAGCTGCATTCCTTTTTTAATAGAGTGATAGTATAATCAAGGGCTACTATAAAACCTAAACCATAGATTGAATTCACTTCACTTGGCAATTCTGCAGGGTGAAACTGGTCAGAACAAGTAACATGCACTACTGAACATGAAGTCATTGTCAGTGTCAGACTGAGAACAAATACAGACCTGTCAAGTCTATGAGGAAACTCATACAGCTACATTATGCTACATAACTTTTTCAGTCAATCCTATACAAATTCTTATATATATATATATATATATATATATATATATATATATATATATATATATATATATATATACTGTCTACTGTGTTGCTGGATTAGGTCGGGAATAAGATTTTGACAGACTCAAGTATATACATCTGGAACAAATTATTATTTTTCACATCTTTATTGCAATACTTCACTGTTAAACAATGCAAGTGTTAGACCATACAAGACTACATGTACCCACATTTACTGAAACATTAATTATAGTACACTTGGACTGAGAATTATCGTAACCCTAAAACATAATCAGCCTCTCTGGTTCCTATCGGTCTTTTCATTATCAAGAAGATAAATAATACAAAAATAAATATTTCATACCGAACATTCGGACTAGTCTGTACTAATGCATGTACAGTACAGTACAGACAAGTACAGTGAACAATTATTGAATTGAACTAAATTTAATTAGTGGTATTTTATTTATGTACCCAAAACTTGTGCAGATTTCTTAAATATACACTTTCTTATTATTCACAATTTTCAAAAAATCTACAACAAAGGGGATCATTAAAAACTTCTCCTGGGGCGATTATATTATGATTTATGAACATTTATTTTTACCTTTTTGAGGACATACTGCTTATTCTGCTGCTTGTGCTCCACCAGAAAGACGGCACCTTGGGCACCCTTGCCAAGCCTCTTTATTACCTGCAATGCAAACAAAACACGTCAGTTATCAAAGATAAATAGTAAAATTACCCACAAGTTCAATTTGGAAGAAATCTATAGAAAAAGAACAACTTTTTAATTCACTTAATATCCAAAACCTTAGACGTGCACCTTGTAGTTGTCCATCCTGTTGGCAACGGGGATTACCTAAAATTGGGACGTAATCGTATACGAAACGAACAAAATGAATAAGAAACTGACTTGAGCAAGTACCGTCAAATATTTTGATGAATATTTATTATCAATGATTTAGCTTATTTTAACATGTTTTATAATATTATTTCGATTTCAATTAAATGAATCTCGTTTATAGTTCTAACCAATTTCGCGCAGACGCAGTTGACCTCACTTGAAGTTTGTAAACAAACCATTGACCTTTACCCTGCTACCTGCACGTGTTTTGCAGAGTAGTTTTCTTTTCAAAGGTAAATAAACATATTTTAATTTGTAGAAAATGTAGGTCAACTCTTTGAAAATCTGTCTTGCAATGAAACGGTGTGAGTCTCACATTAAAACATAGAATTAGATTTCAATTGGCAGTCGAGCTTTGCGAGGTAGACTACAGTACCCGAGCTGAGTAGAAGTTACACAACTGTGATTTGAGCAGGTTTGCGGGAGGTAGTTCCGGCTAGGTGTGCTTCCAGCTTTGTATGTCGATGAAATGGAACTTATTGCCACTTGATACTTTTAACTTGCACATTCGCCGAAGAAATATTGCACATGTTACTGTAAACTTTTCACGGACGTTTTCTGCCGTGTACAGGAAACCAAAATTTTGTGTCGAGTCATCGTTGTCATATCGCCACTATCGACACTGGACGAATCCCAAGTTTCAAATATCACACTCGTCCGAAGCACTGCAACAACAGGGATCTTCGCTTATCAAGACTATCAAATATTCAGCTGCATCTTTTAACAAGTGGATTTGTATCTCTCAGAGTAGCAAGATGAGTGGGGACCCAAAGGCCGGTAAAGATTTGGACGCGTGGAAGTCAAAATGGGTCGAAGGCCAAGCTCGTTGGCACAAAACCGTTGTTCACCAGCTACTGGTGAAACATTTGGACCGACTTTTGGCGGGAAAGAGCAGCGCCAAGATATTTTTTCCTTTGTGTGGAAAAAGCTTGGACATGAAATGGTGAGTATAGTAACTGGTTCGGTTGATTAGCCTCTAGCATTTTTGTGTTTTTTTATTCTTGAATATTGTAATTTAAGTGTAAAGATACAGTTAAAAAGCTCAGATGAAGTAATTGTAGTGTTTCTGCCTTTGTGCTCTATTAACCCATTGTAGCCCTCGTCATCAAAACAAACGGCAGCCATACTGGAGGGAGACCGGAATCGTCTGCTGCGCATGATCATGTCAATATGTACAATTTAGTATTTCATTGCTGTGTTTTCTTTGATATTAAACGAGTAAAATGGTGAATTACTGCAGGGTATATGATAGAGAGAAGATAGCTAACTTAACAAGCGTTCACAGACTGCCTGCAGTGGTAACAATCCAAGGTGTAGGGACGAAAATCGTAAACGGAGGAGAGACCGAGGAGTGGCTTTGAATCAAGACTCATCGGACAAGTAAAGGATAAAACTAATTAATTTTACAGCAGAGAATGAAGACCCAGCTGTGCAGCCTTTACCATAAAAGAAAAAAAAAACAGTAGAAAACCAAAGACCGAGGTGTATAAGTTTGAAGCGCACGTACACTGCACGTTACTAGTGCCCAAAAAGTTTGGGTGGAGAGTGTGTTGTAAAAACGTGTGGAAATACCCAGGCAAGGTTTCGACTTTCATTATGAAGACTCACTTCATTGCCTTGGGTGTAATTTGTTATCAGTTATGGTGCTCTTCGGATTTTATCTGCTGTCATCTACCTCTTTAATACATGGTTAGCATTATTGTCAATTAGTGTCAAGGCTACAGTACAATGTACATTTGTACACAGCTCAGCTGGGCCAATTAAATCAATTACCTGTGTCGTGTATTTGGAAGTTAGTGGCTTGATTTTAGATTTAGTGTAGTGTTAAGAGTAAATCTGTTATTCTAACTCAGGTATCATTTAATTGACAAATAACTTAATGAACTGATTTCAAGTTACAATATGAATAAAAATAACTATTGTTACCTTTTTATGTACAGACACAGATGTGTCTGTACATATTGCCATCACCTGCGTCTGTCGTCGCCGATGGCGATGGCGATGGCGATGGCGATGGCGATGCCGATGCCGATGCCGGCGCCGTGCACTTTCCTTGTANATTCTAGCTCAGGTATCATTTTATTGAAATATAACTTAATGAAATGAATTTGAAAAATGTTAAATTCTGTGTTTTCCTACTGTATTTCAAGTTACAATATGAATAAAAATAACTATTGTTACCTTTTTTTGTTAATTTACATCATTTAGGAAATTAATCTGGCATTTTCCCACCAAGCCACACTAAATGATTGGGTGCAAGTAAATCTTGATAAAAAAAAAAAAAAAAAAACAGGTGACAGGTACAAAAAGCAGCTAGATGGTACACAAGGTAGAAGCAGCGAAAGAATATACTTATATCTTTGTGACCAGCTGAGGAGTCAGGATCTGAACATCAGGAGAGTGAAATTCAGTGCATGACAGGAGTTATTTAATTGGATTTGTTGGTTTATTTAATTGTTCATTTGTCGTTTCAAAGTTGTAATCCTGATAGCTTGCATACAACAAGGATAGGTATTCTATTTATTTAGAATTGTGAGCAGAAGCACAAGAAGAAATGAAAACACTTTTTCTTTCTCATATTTTAAAAGGCTAAATGGAAAAGTTTGCAGGAAATATAATAGTTTGTATGGTGCACTTCTCACAGATGGTCTGATATGCAGAAACAGATTGCTGTCCTGTATCAAGAAAAGATTTAGCTCTTGCAGGTTGCGCATTTTTTAAATTGTGACCACCAGTTGTGGAATTCTCCTAAATGAAATTACAAACTGCTTAGTAACACCATCGAAGGACTTATATGTACATACCCTCACACAATTATTGCACACAGCACATATCAATTGTGAGTCTTCAATCAAGCATTTCTCTAGACATAGATAAAAATATACCAAACAGGTTTCTCAGATTATGGTGACTTGATTCGACTTAATATGCTCATGTACATGTTGGATTGCATCATTAAAAGTATGGAAATATTTTTCATGTCAGTGTTATCAACCGAAAGGAAAGGGACCCTTATAATCTGTCATTGAATTGTGCAACAATGTCAACAATGTTTTGCATTTTATGTTTACTTTTATTCATACAAAATGTGCATTTTCCTATATTTTTAATCAAATGAAGATCAATTCATGAACTGACTCGTTGTTATGCTACATTGGATATCATAAATTAATAAGTTTGAAAAAATGCCTTGCTTCTGTGAATGTCTGGACTAATAATAAAATGCTAACAATGTTGCTAATGTGAATGGTTGAATTCATAATAAAATATTGAACTCTAAAACAACAGTCATATGTCACATGTACTTCCTAATGAACCAAAATGAAGTACAAGAATGCTGAAATAATTTCTGACAGCTTCATGATGTTCAGTTAAATCATAGCTGACAGCAATATTTCTTGTTATAAGACAACCCTGCATACTGTCTTCTTCGAGTCCTAAAGGGTCGATCCCAATGGTCAGCTCAAAATTTTCCTTACATCTATCCTTTGCGTAAAAAGTTGCTTCTATGAAAGGTTGAACTTATGATTCAAATTAAACTCTCTAAAACTATAAATGTTATTATCCAGTGAACAAGAAAAATGAAGTACACGATAACTGAACTAGCTTCTGACAATTCCACGATGTTGGGATAAGTCAGGATTTCTCGTCTTTGGACTGTCCTGAGTTTATATGGGTTGATCCCGCTGATCATCTGTAGTTTTCACATGTATATACACTTTTCCTTTTGGTGTACTTGATCGGGATATGAAGTTTAGTTTATTCTATTTGGTTTACCTATATTTACGCTACTAATCCCCGTCGTTCTTTCCCTCCAGTATGGCTGCTGGACTAGTGTTACGGAGCAAATATGACGTCACTGTAATGGGTTAATATGGTATTGATATCACAGTTGCATAGAAAAATTGTCATCACATGCAAACGGGCTGCAAACGTAATATTAATGGCTGGATTTTTTTATGTTTATCAATTACTAGTAAAATGATTGTAATTTTTTTAATTTAATTTTTTTATTCTAGATACATGACCATGAATTTCCTGCAGTGTGAAGGCAAAATTTGTTTTACTGGTTATTATATTATCATTATTATTATATTGTTGTTACATTCCAGGTATGTGGTCATGAATTCCCTGCCCACTCCAATGTTCTTGCAGCAGGCAGCACCTATTTAACCTCTCTGCTGAGTGAGAATGTACCCAGAATCTACTCCCAGGGGTCGCCACAGACAATAGAAGTTCATGTAGACAGTGCTGAGACTGACAAGTCCTACATTCTTGTTGTGGAGACCATTTTGAATTTCTTGTACACAGGGAGATTACAAATCCCGGTCATATTGCAAAATAAACTGTCAGAAATTGCAGGAATTTTACAAGTTTCCCCTTTGATAAAATTTTGTCAGGGAATAAAGAGCCAACATCGCAAAAAGCATGTTAGAGCAAAGGGTTATAAGGTAGAAGAGGATGAGGGTGAGGAAGATTTAGACACCAGTCGCGTGCTTCCTCTCAGAGATGATGGCGGAGAGAGTACAGATCTTGAGTCAAAGCTCAGTTCAACTGGCAGACCTCTGAGAAGCACCAGGTTGGGAAAAAGAAAAAGTTACCTTCCTCAGCGGAGACAAGGCAGTAAAGAGGACGAGCAAATAAGTGAGATGGAGCAGAATGAAACCAAGTCTGATGTTAAAGAATCGCCAGACAATACACCAAAGAAAAAGAAAAAAACTCGGTATCAATGTGAGAAATGTGATTTCACCACCTGTAAACCTAAGGAGCTCAGTAAACATCAAGACTGGCATAAGCAGCAAGAAAACATATGCAAATTCTGTGATGAACATTTCGAGGATGGTTCACAGCTTGAAGAACATTTGGAGAAGCATTCTGGCCCAGACCCTTACTTCTGCCCCAGCTGTGACCAACGTTTTAACACAAAAACAAAATACAACATGCACGCCCCTGTGCACTTCAAAGAAAAACCTTTTATATGTGAGACTTGTGGGGCTGGTTTCAAGTGGAAACACGCCCTGAAGAACCATGAAGTGATTCATTCTACTGAAAAGAAACATTTGTGCGACTTCTGCGGTTACTCCACCGTTCACAAAAGTCAGCTCAAGGCTCACAGACTAATACATACAGGGAATATGTTTTCTTGTGAGGTGCCGGGTTGTAACTTTAAGGCAACCAAACGCCAGAATTTGAAAAATCACATGCTCACGCACACGCGTGAGAAACCACACCAGTGCGAAATATGCGGCACTGCATTCTCCATGGTGAAAAACTTACGCAGGCATTCAAGTCTTCACACTACTGTTCGGCCTTTTAAGTGTGACATCTGTGATTTCTCCACCACCCGCATGGACAAGCTGAGAGAACACCTAATGAAATCTCACAGCATAGGAGAGCCACCCAAGAAAAGACAAACCCTAGAGCAGAAGTATGGTGGCACAACAGCAGAGGATGCTGATAAGGAGGAAAAGAAACAAGTGACAAACAAACTCACAATGCCCTTTAAACTCATTTTCCCCATGCAAGAAAATCAGCTGTCGATTGTTACTGACCCAGCAACACATGGCCTTGGTGGAGACTCTAACAGGAGAGGAATCAGCCACGTTGCAGATCAGAAATTCTTTGCCCAAGTTACCGAGGACAATTTGGCACCAACGGGGCAGCAATCTCAACAACCACAGCATGGCCTACAGACGAGTAAACAATTTCCGTACCTCACCAAGGTGATCATACCAGCAGGGACCCAGGAAAACAGCTTCACGCTCGCAGACTCGGCGCAGTTCATTACCCAGAATGCCTGTGTCACTGAGCACGGGTTAATGGTGACGTCACAGTGTGACACACATTTGGTGACAAGTAGGGGACAGAAGCTGATTGTCACCCAGGGGGAGATATTGGGAGGAGAGGGGGGCTTCCAACAGACTACGTTAAACAGAGTGCCCCCCAGGGAGTTTAATCTAGAGAATATTGACGTAGTGCCAGTTGAGAGTTACACAGATTCTACATAAATTATTTTACTGTCTGCTACAATAACCATTGCCATTAATTCAAGGCAGTTGACCAGTAGATTTTGCCTCAGCAAAAAAAGTATTTTTTATAAAGTTACTAGTCCAATTAGACTAGTTGGAATATTGGGGATTCTTTTAAATTACCTTTTCATTGTCAGGAGCTGAACAACTTAACAACTTGTGAATTTCAATTTGAATTAGAACAATTAAATATGAAGTCCCTTAGCTGATGACCAGTGAAGATATAGCTCTAGCTGATGCACAGAAAAAAATATGGAAAGAGTGTGAGGGTGTGGTAGGAGGGAGGTAAGGAAAAAGCAAAACGGAGAACATGGATATGGGGAGGTCTATTTAGGATGGATATTCCTTAGCTAAATGGCTGCAAAACTGAAGTTGAATCAAAATTTTTTTTAAATTAGAGTGTTAAAATTTGAATTTCTTAAAATGTGAAATATGCCAGTCGCAGATACTGAAAAGTTTGATCTGGGACGAATGGTATTTTATATTAATTTATTATATCATGATGATATATTACTAACATGATCAGTGTCCAAATTTATAAAGAACTGATAGAGTGCATATTTTCAAGATGGATTATTATTTGCAGTGTTTACTGTTAGCAAGTTAAATTTTAAGAAGAAAAATTTATTAGCAGAAAAATTGCACTGACGCAATTTGATGCTGGTTGTCAAATTTTGTTTCCACAAAATACTGTAGCAGTTTTTTTTCTTCTTTGTATTTATGCAAATTGTTACGGGTGTCAACTACATAAATTATTTGTAAGATAACTATACTGTAAAATTGTATATGAACATAGGTTGTTTCCTTCTAGATAAAGATTAATTAAAAACCCATTCACCTTTTTAATTTTTTCTTACAACAAAGATACACAAGTTGAGAGAAATTATTTTATTTCAATTCAGCTCAAATTTACAAGTTGTGTTGTATGGATTCCAAGCATATGTAATACTAGGTAGTACAGCCTGAGCACAGATGTCTGCCATAGAAAAAAAGGCAAAAGTTCTGAAATCCTTCAAAATTTAGAAGACCCAGGCTTGGCCTCTTTTTTTTTTTTTTTTTTCTCCTTAACATTCAATAACTGCAACAGTCTCTCCTGGAAATTAAATGTATACTTTGTAAAGACCATTGTGAGATATTTTGTACTCTCTCTATCTCTCTCTCCCTCTCTCTCTCACACACACACACACACACACACACACACACACACACACACAGTGCTCTCTCTCTCATAGATAGTGCTTGGCTAATGTCCTGAGGAATTTCTGCATTCTTTTCTGTTTGGCTTGAACTAGAATGTCCTCTGAATTGCTGCTGTTCAATTCCAACTGACCTATGACATGCAACTAAAAAAAAGTATGAAAAATGCATCACAAAAATGTACGAAATTGCATAATCTCTGAGAAATGTGTGACAATTATAACTATGACTTTATGTAATATAATTATAAATATCTAAAAAATATATTAAATTTTTTTAGGAAAATATCAAATTAAGGTAATAGTAATATAAACTACTTTGGGTAATATAAATAAAAATATAAATTAGAGACTTGTCCAGTTAAGAGGGGTTTAGAAATAATTAGATACTTATAGCTCTTTGTTTCTTCTCAAGTTCTCCCTTCTTGGCATGAAGATCTGACACTTGTTAAAGGTTTTTTTTAATAGATGCAAAATGCACTAATGTTATAATGATGTCATTGAAAACCATATCCCCCATACCTTAAAGTATAACAATTATCTGAAATCTGACATGATACTCTCAAGCTGCACTGAAATATGAAGCCTGGGATATGATCCCTGTAATAGGCTGGGTTACTTTCAATAAAATAACTGAAACTAGCTACTTTTTAGCTACTTTGGGAGGACAGGCAAATTAATAAATTGTAACAAATTAATTCATATTAACTAAATTCAATAAAGCAATGAATCAAATGAGAAGATCCAGTAACTTTTTCATTCAAAATTAACTATTAGCAAAATAAATATATAAATAAATAAATACTAAAATAAAATTAAAAAAAGGAAAAAAAGCTGAAGCAACTTTACACTCATCTTTTCTCTGCTCATATTAGTCCAATACCAAATCTACTGGTCAACTGTCTCAGACCAGAGGCTAATGCTGGACACTGGACAAAGGATACTAATCAGAAACTCCAGAATGGTGACATCCCATATACAGTCACAGCTAGTAAGCATCCATGGCATCCTGACAGTGTTTTTCCTGGAAGGCCTGCAATGGAACATATGTAATGTTTATATTGACACAGTATCGACTCCTAAAAGTAATTATGACATGTCTAGTATTTATCAGAAGACTGGTGAATTGAACAGAAAGCAAACTTTAACATAAAAAGCTTTTTGGACATATTAAAAAAAGGCCTGTTACCAAAAAATGTCCATATTGCATAAATAGTAGTCTTTTTCTTTATCCCCAATCCATCGGGTCTCTTATTTTACCTTTAGTCACTGTCTAGATAAGTACCTATAGTGCTAATAGAGGCAGTACAAATGCTTAACATGTTTTAATGTGCTATTTGAATGTATATATAGTGGCATTTGGTTTGGTTAAGTGACAAAGATTTGGTTGAATGACTTCAAGCTGTACTGTGTAACTCTATGACCTTAGTGGCCTACATAGATATAAATAGAAATCACACTGTAAATTAATAGAGTTGACTCCTAAGGCAGAGGTCAAGTGAGAACTGAATGTGATAAGATGATAAATATGCAGCTTAATTTGACAACCACCTGTAGATTTACAGGAGTAACATAATACCACTGAGGACTTAATTATTTATAGCATGATTTTTGTAGAGATGAGACATTCACTGCACGTATGTTCCAATGAACTTTTCTTCTCAAAGCTGGAGGTCATGGCACATGTGCAACAGAAACGAAAGCTGGAAATTTTCTATCATCTGGAAATACCATCTCCTCATACAGTAGATGCTGATGTAATCAAACAGTTTGATACATTGATGCAGTATTCTGATATTCTGATACAGTATTCTGATACATTGATACAGTACTCTGATACATTGTTGCAGTATTTTCTTACATTGAAACAGTCAACTTGAATCATCAGACTAAGAATATCCAAGATGGCTACTGGGGGCGGAGAGGAAGATATTTCTGGCAGTTTTGTGACATGTCACATCTGTCTGGAGGAATATAAAGACCCCAGGGTTCTGCCATGTCACCACACATTTTGTCTCAGATGTCTGCAGCTCCATGTCACCAGCAATGGCAGTCAAGATGACACGTTTTCATGTCCTGTTTGCAGACGGAAGACACTCACACCTAAAGAAGGTCTCCAACAACTTCCTCACAATTTGTTTATGGCAGAGGTTCAGAGTACCAAGGCAGACTTCAAGTCATGTGACCTGTGTGGTGATGACAGCAGCACATATCACTGTCAAGAGTGTCACCAGTACATATGTGACTGCTGTAAAGATTTTCATGACCTCAACGAAGGTCACACACTGAAGGTTGAAAAAGAAGGCTTAATACCGGATGCTGCTCTGGAAGATCAGGACAATTCTACACCATTTTCAGAGAAGCTTACTGCAATTGTTTCACAGTTTAGTCAATCTTTGTTAATACTGAAGAAAGAACTGAGAACTAGTGAAGAAGAAAAGATGAAATATATGTCCCACAGGAAAGAAATCCACCAGAGAGTCAAACAACAGGCACATCAAATTAAGGTTATTACCGACAATCGATGTGAAAAGTTGATCAAGGAAACTGATGATTTTTTGAAAGAAAAGTTGTCACAACTGGCACAATACACAAATACTGTCAGCAGTCAACACAGGCTTGCAGAGGAGATGCACAAAGAAGCCATCAACCTTCAGCATAGCAAGAATGTAGAATCAGACCAAGTCAAGTTGCTCAGAAAGAAGCTTTCAGAGATGCAAGACAGCAATGCTGATCCTCGTCTTAGAGATCCCCTTATAGTCCTTTACCATGACAGCAGCCTAGAGGACGTCAGGGCAAAGATGGGGACAACTGAGAGGCATTACGGTGTGAAATCTAATAAAACCAATGGTGAGCCCCCAGCAAAAACAAATTGGCTTATCATTGATAAATGGGGCAGCAATTGGACCAAAAGGAGAGCAGAGAAAGTATCTGAGGTTCAGCTGGAGCATTGTAAAACATCTACAGATTGTTCATACACAAGCATAGCCCAGTACAGCACTGGATACATCTTTGCCCTGGATTCTGAACATGACCTGATAGAGTTATACGCAACAAAGGGGGAATTTCTGAAGCATTTTGACCAAAAATGGAATGCATCAATTAAATTCAGTAAATTAGCTATAATGGATACCAGGCTGTTAGTATCTTACTCTGAGTCTTCTATCATGTTTGTAGCTGAAGTTTCTCTCCCAGAATTTGGTCACAAAATATTAAACTTATTTGATACATTTCATCCGAGAACTATTTTGATTGCTTCATGTGGAAATGTTGCAGTTGTGTTGGGGAAAATACATGAGAGCAAAAGGGAAAGAAAACGGGATTACACACAGGGATCTGGTAGATGGACAGATGTAGATGTAGAATACAAATATTTAGAAATACATTTTTTCGAAGGGAACTGTTTTTCCCATAAGTTTTCTTTACATCCTGACAAGTTTACATGGATGCAAGACAAAGCACCATCAGATATGGCAGTTGACAAGGAGAAGAATGTGTTCCTACTTTTTCCTGATCATCACTGTTTATTGGGGTTGAACAGCAAAGGGGAAAAGAAATTCACCTACGGCAAAGTAAACATTCCAGGCACTGGTGTTGGTCAGTTAACAGATCCATCTTGTATCTGTACTGACAACAATGGTGACATCTACATTGGAGACACAGGGAGGATTGTGAAGATCAAATCTGATGGTGCATTTATTTATCACATCACAGGTGTGTGTCAACCAATGAGTGGCTATGTATTCCTGGTGGATCATCAGGGACACATTGTAACAGTTGAAGATGGTAAAGTGATCAAATATATATACTAGATACTGTGCAACCCTACGGTACTATATATCTGGTCTCACAATGTCTGACAATGTTTTCTTTGTGTATAAATTGTATCAACTGGACTGTGTAATTATTTTCATAAGCTTTAACAGATAAACTGGGTAGCAGAATTGATTTATTCAAGCTGCTCTCTTGTACATGGTTCCATGATGTTATCTATTTACACACATTTTAATCTGTACATGTCATAGAAATTATAGTAATCAAAAAAACTATTTAGCAATAGACAACTTTTTTAAGTTGAGTTTTTCTATGCGCAGATGATGTTGTTGATGATGGAATTAAACTTAGAATCAAAGTAGATGAGAAAAGTATATACTTTTTCAGTTAACTTTGCATTATGGGTACATAGATTATGATGTTATGTGGAAATGTTTAAAAATGATAAATATATATATTATTGGTATGTTTAGAATATTGTTACACTATCATATTTCAGTAAAATGTACAAAATCCTAAATTATTGCAACTGTTGTATGAAATGTATAGAAATTTCTGCATTCAACTCTTGTACATGTAAGTTACAGTGGTTTCAGCGTTGATGTTTTTTATGTGCAGTGATATCTTCAAGACTTAGTTCAATATCACATGTTACTGTTGAATATAATACCTAGGAATTTGCACCTAAAACTCTTGTACATGTGTGGCATTTTAGTGTTTTTAAAGTGCAAACATCTTCGAGCTGTTTAAGTTATGTAAAGGTTTGCTTTAATCATGCTTAGCATTATATCAAAAATGTTAAATAATACAATATTAGCCTTGAGTGTAGGTAATTTAACGGAGTGTTGTGGTTTGTGTGAAAAAAAATCCTTTTTTTCTGTAAAGCAAGTAACAGATCAGTATCAGAGATTCAGTATCAGTATGTAAGAAAGGAAGTTTCAATTAAACTGTAAATGGCAAAGAAAGATTTTAGCTTTCAAAATGGAAGCAGAAATAGCACAGAAATAACACAGTCAAGAAGAGAGGATATTCCAAGAAATTCTTGATATACAGAAACGAGTAATAAAAGCATGGCTTTAATTCAGCTTTTAATTTATTTTTTCCCATCCTGAATCTTAAAAATTGTCCTATCAATGCCCCCTACCTGGGTGTAACACTGGAGATAGTTGCAGCTCTTGATGAGCCTCTTGTACACCTGGTCATCAAGGATGGTCTTGGGTACGGGACGTGAGAAATAGTCTGACGCCACCAAGGCTGCCTCCATGTAACAGTGCATAGCACCAGAATACTGGGCATGTGCTGGGAATGATTCAAATACTTCAATGAATATATATAGTTTGCTTGGAATTAAACTGCTACAGAAATGATTTTGTCATTATGAAGAAAAAAGTTAATGGGGTGTTCTGGAAATGTTTTATACTCTTAATTGACTATACAAAAAGTAGCATTAGATAAAGTGTATTTTAGTAATTTCATAGCATAATTTCATAACCTTTCTAATAATTATAACTATACAAAATTAATTCAGATTGCATAATTTTTCTTGTCAACTAGAAACAGTTTTGGATGAAAGAGTTAAAATTCTGATTATACAGTCACAATTTTCAAAAATTAATTGAAAAAAGACAATCACCATCTAGATCCTTATCAATCTGCCTGTGTCTTGAGCCAAGAGGGTTGTGTTGGATTCACACACAGAGAGCATGCTGCATCAGTGTTGTCACTGCATCTGACACTGCCGGGAGGTTCAACTGACTTGAGCTACAAGATAAATGCACACAGTTTTGACCAAAATGGATTTTAAAATTCTTGTGTACAAGTTCAAGTTTAATTGTCATGTTTTTTTTGTTGTTGTTGTTGTTGTTGTTTATGTTTCTTTTAAGGATCACCATCTAAAGGCTTGAAGTCGGTGACAAATCTGTCAATTCTTACTCGTCCAATGACAAATCTACAAGACAATATTTTTAGAACTAATTATTAAGGTCAATGTTGCAGATGGGCCATGGGTCCAAAGCTCTAAAACAACACGTACCCTCTACCAGGGTCACAGATTATTTTTACTAAATATTCAAAGATATGTCTCTGGTTAATTCATGATATGATTCTCTGCTCAAAAGTGCACATTAATAATGTGAGGCCCTGCTAAAGGGAGGGTACGTACTTCAAAACTATGTCCAAGGGTAGAGATTAGATTACTCCTCTTACACAAAACCTCGATTGCAATACCTCCTGTCATGTGTCACTCACTTTCCCAAAGCCATGGGCCACATGGTGACATAATCACTGGAGATCTCACTGGTTAGGTCATTCTGGAATTATATGATATTGTTAAGACAATACTGTCTGAGATTGAAACATCTTTCAAAATTCCTTTCAATATTTGCTGAGCTTACTGAGGGGAACGTTTATAAATAAATAAATAAATAAATAAATAAGGAAAACTATGGATATAAATAAATATTAAGGAAAAATAACAAATTGAATAACTGAAGGAATCACATATATTAAATCAATCAATAAATAAATTATTAAACAAATAAATCTAAGAAAAATCCACTGCAAATCAAAGTTATTGTATTTCAACTAATCAATGTAACATTGTTTCTGCCCCATCGAACACTGTAATTATCAGTTTTCAAAAAATAAGTATGCATGAGGTGATGCAGGATTGGTCCTCTTCATGATGTCCTGAACCGTGGTACACTCCAGAAAGCCATCTGCTTGCTGGAACAGTTGGATGTCCAACTGTAGTATCTCCCAGCACATTTATTTGGACAATTTGTAAGACAGGTCCTTCACTGAGGCATCCGACGCCAACAGATCATGTACTGACTTAAACATCTGAGTATAAAAAGGTACCTGTTTTACAATAAAAATTTGCTTCTAGTGAAATAAGGTTTTGCTTATAAACTTATAGCATTTCATTGGATGAAAAAATACCAAGTCAACTTTGTTATGATCTTTGTTGTGATCTTTTTGTTTTGTTCCTATGGTTGGAGTTTATATATGACAAAGACAAGAAATTACACACAAACATCTCTTTTTCCTCACCTTTTAACCTTCATCTGAGTACACTGTTTAGCCTTGACTAAACATATGTATCCGTACACCTGGTCTAGACATGACACCAAGCTGTCAAAACCACGCTGAATCTCTATGGACACCTTCCACTTGGGAAATATGGAGAACATAATTAATATTATTATGTGATATGATATGATATCATACCACCTTCAATAACTGTGTGGTCTTGTTCCTGTACTGAATATGGTATTTTATAGTACATTGCTATGCTTTGTTTATTATCACATTTTTCATTTATAAGGAGACAAATTGCACAGACACAATATGTTGCTGATTGTCAAGTTTTGTTTCCATATATCACTGTAGCAGTTTTTCTTTTCATTTTTGTATTTATGCAAATTGTTAAAGGTGTCAACTATTTAAATTATTTGTAAGATATGTAACTATATGGACATGGATTATTTCCCTTTAAATAAAGACAAATTTTAAATAATTTTTTTCTTACAACAAAGATATGGATGCTGAGAGAATTTCTTTTATTTCAATTAATTTTTTCTTACAACAAAGGTATGGATGCTGACTGACAGAATTCCTTTTATTTCAATTCAGCTCAAAATTACAAGTTCTGTTGTATGGATTCCAAGCAATGCAATACTAGGAAGTGCAGCATGAGCACAGATGTCTGCCATAGAAAAGAAGGCAAAAATTCTGTAAAATCCTTTAATTTTAAGGAGACCCAGACTTCGACTTTTTTTTTTTTTTTTGCTCCTAAACATTCAACAACTGTCATTCCTGGAAATTTAATTGTATTTTGTGAAGACCATTGTGAGATATTTTGTCTACAAAGAAATTGATAACCCAATAAAGGAATAGTACTACATACTAATGAAGGTCATGAGACCCAAGGTGCACCAGAAATACCAAACAGTAGCTGTCCATTTTAGCCTTTAAATTATCACATTTTCAACTTGTTTCATGAAACACTATTTCCTCTTTTTAAACTGTTGAGGAATTGTTTTTTAACAGCTATTGCCTAGAACAAAATATTGCCTAGAATAAAATATTTTCACACATTCTCACTTTCTTCATATAGTTTTATATTTTTTCTTTTTTTTTTCATTTAAAGAACATAAATCTGCTTTCTCTCTCTCTCTCTCTCTCTCTCTCCGACACAATGTATGTGGCCTCTCCCTCTCTCTCTCACACACACACACACACACACACACACACACACACACACACACACAC